ATTGTACAATGTACAATGTACAATGACAATAAAGTTGTCTAATTAATTCAAAAAACTCGTTCCCTTACCGCTCTTTCTCTTGGTCGTACGTGTATTAGGTTCGTTCGAGATGAGCCAGTCCTGCGCAGATTCGATCACCGGCGATCGGCGCACAGTGCATGCCGGTTAGTTTTGTGTCCGACTTCATCCCGACTTGCTCTGACGTATTACAAAAGTGGACGGCGATAAAGCCGCGAGAGTGAGGCGGCCGCAGTTTTTAGAGCCAGGCACTGCAGTTGCTCTCCACCAACTGCAGTGCCTGGCTCTCACCTGATCTAACAGCTGATTGGTTTAGATGTCAACTCAACGAGATGACGTTTTAGATAAACTACTCATTTTTGTTGAATTTTAGAGATTAAGATTGTATTTGTCTGACCTGAAGGTTTATTCTGTGAACAAAAAACATGTTGTGTGACTGATGGTGAAAACAAACTGATATATGGGTCTGATCACTTTTTTAATGAACTGACATCATTCCAGACAGGATGTTAGTGTGTCTGTGACTTCCTGTACGGACTGAAGGCTGCTGGAAACTGTCTGACTTCACCGCAGCTTTTTGTCACCGCCCCCCGCTGCGGCCGCCTGCTCTCGTCTACTTTCCAGGCGAGGCGCAGTTCATCTCGAACGAGCCTATTGTTTGCATTCTTCTCTTCATCCTCTCCGTTGTCTTCTTCCTCTTCTTCTGCGGAGAATAATACACACACAGACCAACTTCCGGTATGGATTGGATATATGGCGGCGCCCATGTCCGCCATCATGTCTGCAGCTGGGTCCCTCTCCCGCTTTGTAGCACAGACCAACCCGCAGCCAGGCAGAGTGGCACCGCCATTTTGTATAAACTGTGAACTCACATGTTGTGGTATCTTTTTTACTGTTATCAGCATTAATAACACCGTTTCATGCACTTTGGGGACCCTTTGTGAGAGTTTATTGAGGTTAAGAAGTTTTGCTGTATAATAGTTGACCAAGCAGGAGTTTGCCTTTGGTAAATACTGTGTGTATTTACCAAGCTAGCTGAAAAAGTGTGTACTCTCTACACAAAGATGTTTCTCCCATACTTCTTTGTAAATAGTTACATAGAAGAATTGTTTGAGTTAAGTGCTCATTGTGATTCTTACGACCTGTTTTTCAGGGGTGTAACAACTGTATTATTCAAATACTTACATGATGTTGCAGTGTTCATTATGTGGTCACCTAATGACTGGCGTTAAACTGCAAGAGAGACAGAGAGGCTGCTGTCTTTGGTTGTGAATTTGATTGATGGCTGATCAAAGGAATTACCTGTAAGACCGGATGTAGTCGTGATAGCTGAAAGTTGGACATGTCACACTACTTGTATAGAGAGAATTTTACAATTAGGTTCAAGTCTCAGCATTACAAGGTTTCAGTTACCTCTTTGTTCTTTGTCTTTTATGTTTCCAGTACCAGAGGAAGTGCTTACAGTGTTGTGCTACAGCCATAGATCAGGACTGTCATGAAGG